ACCCTGAAACTGGAGAAAAACAACCAGAAGAAAATCCTAAGAGTACATGACTCGATGAAAAGTGAAAATGAATCCCGTACGAGGATTTAGGCTCAAAACAAGGCATTTAGCAAAAACTTTTATTAATTGCACAATGACCCCTCTAAAAAGTGAAAACTACACTACTGGCCCAAAATAAAAATATCTTCCAAATATATTTTCTTAAAAACCCCTAAAATAAAATATCTTCAAAAGATATTTATAAAAAACACCCCAAGAAAAGAAAAAGATTCTAAAAAAACTATGTATCCATGCCCTTATGGACACTGAGAGCAACCAGAGTACTTTCTTACAAAAGTAAGGATACGTATTTCGTGGAAACCACTTAAGATGAAAGTACGTGAAGTTGAAAACCAACTCCGAGCATAAAAAGTGAGGTTGTGCCAAAAAGTGACAAACGGGGAAAAGACAAAATAGGGAAAAAGACGAAATAAGGAAAAAGACGAAAAGTAAAAATGCGGAAATAACTCAGTCCTTAAAGGAAGTTGTCAATCTAAATAAAAGAGTCTCGAAAATCATTCCAGAGCACTCGAGATGACATTAAGCAATGAGAAACCGAACACAAAAAGGAAAAGAACAACGGAAAAAAAATATCCGTAAAAATCTGAGAAAAGGGAAAGGAAGAAAATGACTAGGTCATTACAATAATGTACAAGACAATATCACCAACTTATCAATTTAAATCATGTCTTAACAATAATATAGAATTATCACCACCATAATATAACAATTCAAGTCAATAGAAATTGTATATAGCATTTATAATTCTATAAGAGTTCTATATCACTACCACATGTGAAAATACTAGAATTTAACATACTACTAAATCGTATAATATTTCTACACAAGGTAAATACATATAATACATGCTTAAATCAATAAACCCTGAGTCAAAAAGTGAGGGTTTCCTATAATATGCAAGACTATCATATTAAAAGTATGTACACAATATATATTCAACCCCAAAGGACTTAAAATACTCAAAATATAAACATACTACCACCCCTACCTAAATGGAGAACTGAATCTCTATAATCCAAAGCAACCAAGCACGAAATGGACAATAAAACAAGGGTTTTGAAGAAGAGAGTGAAAGGAAACTTTTGTCTCTCAAGGTTAATGGTCTAAGGTGAGTAGAAAAAAGCCAAAATGAAGAGATAAGCTATTGACCAAGCTTTTCTCTAATGGTAGCTAGGTTAGGGTTTTGAAGAACAAAGAAACGAAAAAGATAAAGTGTCAAATGGTGAGTGGAAGGTCTAGAAATCCTCCACTCATTATGTGTTCTTACACTACCTCTCTCACACACATAATGCAAGACTAAATGGTGAGCTTACACTTGTCACAAATCCAAGGCTCCTTCATGGGCTTAATTTTAAGCCTACACTTGTCAACCATCTAAGCCAACAAGTGCACCAATTCTAGGCCAACAAGTGGGTGAATCTCCACCCTCCAAATGTCAATAGATTATGCTCCCAAGTCTCCCCACCCAAATGCCAACAAGTGGCTCCATGAGAATGTGACACTTGTCACATTTTTCATAAATTGCAAAAAGGTCCTTTTTCAAAATATCTTCAAAATTAAATTACAAAAGGTCCTTAAGATGAAAAATAATTATTTTACATAATTACACTAGAACCCCAAAAATCAAGAATAATTACAAGAAAGTATGCATCCATGCCCTTTACGAAAATGTAAGCAACTAGAATGTATTTTCCACAAAAGTAAAAATACAAATGTCATGGAAATCAATTATTATGGATGCATGCAAAGCCAAACTCAAATTTGAGCACAAAAAGTGAGGTTATGCAAGAAAAATGATAAATGGTAGAAAGACAAAATAAGGAAAAGACAAAATAAGAAAAAGGCGAAAAAAAAAATCACCAAAAAAGGAAAGGAAGGAAAATGACAGGGTCATTACACTAAATGTTATACATTTTATCCCCTTAAATTGCATATTTTATTCTCTTAGTAGTAGTTTATTTGTGATTTTATATTATTTTATTGTTTTTATTTATTTCAGGACTTTAATTATAATATCAGTCAAGACTAGTGATTTCGAGCTTTAAAAGATGACATTCCGTGGGATCGAGCAATGATGAAGATCCAAGTCTAATTAAAGTTAGAAAAGAGTCCAAGAGAAGTGTAATGACCCGGTCATTTTCATTTCTTTCCCTTTCTTCAAATTTTGCGGATAAATTTTTTTCATTGTCTTTCCCTTTTCAGGTTTGATTTCCCGCCTCTTAGTGTTGTCTCGAGTGCTCAGAAATGGTTTCTGAGACTCTTTCCTTTGGATTGACAACTTCCTTTAAGGATCGACTCATTTCCACATTTTTTTGTTTTTTGACACTATTCATTTTTTCGTCTTTTCCTTATTTCGTCCTCTTCTCATTTTTCACTTTTACTTGCATAACCTCATTTTTTGTACTCGGATTTGATTCCAATTTTGCATACGTCCATGATATTTAAATTCCATGACATCTACATTTTTACTTTTGTAGAAATGCATATTAAATGCTTACTTTCTTTGTAAAAGCTATGAAAACAAGACTTTTTGTAATTATCCATAACTTGAGGGGTTTTTGGGTAATTAAGTAAAGTAATTATTTTTTGTCTTAGGGACCATTTTGCAAATTAATTTGGAAGATATTTTTAAAAAGGACTTTTTTGCAATTTTTGAAAAAATGTGACAAGTGTCACATTCCTATGGTGCCACTTGTTGATTTTGTGGTGGAACCACTTGGAGGCTTAATCTCATGACACATGGAGGGTGGAGATTCATCCACTTGTTAACCTAGGATTGGACCACTAGTTGGCTTGGATGGTTGACAAGTGTAGGCTTAGGATTAATTCTAGAAGGGAACCTTAGGATGATGACAAGTGTAGGGCTCACAATTAGTCTTGCATTTTGTGTCTGTGTTGACCATGGTGTAGGTTCACCTAGTGAGTGGAGGACCTCTAAATCCTCCACTCACATTTCATCTTTTTCATTTTCACATTATCCTACACATAAGAACCCTAGACTCCATTGAAGAAAGCTTAAAACCTTAAGCTTTGACTTTAAATTTTGAGGCCTTTCCACTCACCTTAGATCATTGACCTTGGAATACTTTTTGTTCCTCTCCTCTTCTTCTACAAATCCCTTGTTTGGTTTTCCATTTTTAAGCTTGCTTCCCTTAGATTCAAGAGGAACAATCCTCTTGTGAGGTAGGGGGTGTTATCATTTATCTTCCAAGTGATTTTATTTGTTCTTATAGTGATATCTAAGTTATATGTTTGTCTTGTACTAAAATGAGAAATAAATGATTAATTGTAACTGTATGTAATTCACTTTAGACTTGATAAATAACATGACCATGGCTTGATTCATAACTTATGTTAATTTGAGGTCATTTAGAGTTGTTTTAAAATGTAGATGGATTAATGAATTAATTTAATTAATTTTTATTTATATGCTCCTATGACTTAAATCAAGTTTTGATGTGATTTATATAATAACCATGACATGTACTACAACATATATTAAATTTGGGGCATTTGGATAAGAATTGTAAAATTTATTTAATATTTATCTTTTGTGAAAGTTTAATTCACATGGTGATAGCAAGCATGAAATCATGATGTAATGTGATATTTGGATAGGCCTTGGCATGTTCTCTAACATAGATTAAATTGAGGGCATTTGGAATTGTTTAAAAATCTAGAGAAAATTAATTAATTAGCTTGATTAATTTTGTTTTAAGTGTTTTAATCACTTAAATTGTCATTTGATATTATATATGTGATGACCATGACATGTCCTTCAATATATATTAAATTGAGGTTATTTGGGATTAACTTGGAATTTAGAGAATTTAACTATTTATGTTTAATTAAATTCTATTTTATTACTCCATGGATATAATTACATTTTGGAAGTTGTTTTTATATTTAAATCATGGATTTGGATTTGGTGTATGTTCACTTGATTACTTTTGAGCATTGGATAACATAGTTGTTACTTTTATATTTATGAGAATATGTTTTTCCTTATTGAATATATTGTTGCTATGTGTAAGGAATTGCACACTTTGTATTTGACATCTTTCATGCCATAGTAGTTGTAGACTTTGAGCATGTATTGTATAAGTTTCCAAAATTGGATTGTGCTTGGTAAATAGTTGATATCTTGTATATATATGTTGATATATATACGTTGTTGCACAATTTGTTGATTTTGGAAACTTGGGGATGTCGTTGTTTGGTTACGGCTAAGACTTGGTTCTAGTACGGGAGATTGTCCCTCTATATAGTCTAGTGCGCACATAGGGAGGTTACCCATGGGCTAGTAACCCTAAAGTAACCATATTGTCGGTTTGATCCGGCGTGACGTCTAAGTATCCACTTTGGTTTGATTTCGCATTTAAATTCCAAGTTGTTAACTTTGTGAAATTACATCCCATTGTATCATGTTGAAAGTTCTATTGTCACTTGATGGCATGAATTAAATGGTATTGGATTGTAACTTGGTATAAAGATAAACCCATGCATTCCCTACGAGTAAACTTGTTTACTCACCCTAAGTTAATGGGTGTTTTGCAGGTAAAGAAGCCTTGGTGTGGGATGCACAACATTCTTAGACTTACTAGAGTTCTTGAAGTATTTTTTTTTTTTTTTTTTTTTTTTATAATTGTGGTTGTATAAAAGAAGAAAAAATATGTACAAGAGTCACAGAGGGCATACCCTTAGAATGTAAAGGCACCAATGAAAGTTGGATACAAACATCCAAACTCACCAAACAGAAAGAAACCAAAAAAGAAAAAATGGAAAAATCCATCTCCAAAACAAAACAAGAGAAAAACCACCGTAAACCAAAACTAGCTGAAAAACATAAAAATGACAAAGGATTAAAAAATAACACAAGAAAACCAGCTCCTTGTCACAGCCATTCAACTCAGCAAACTGATAAAAGACAATTCACCAAATCAAACAAGTAGGTCAGAGAGAAGGATACTATGAATATCCAACACCTCTAACATTGCCACAATCACTGGAGCAGTAGCAGTACCATACAATCTAGCATTTCTCTCTTTCCAAATTCCCCAAAGCATAGCAGGAAACAATGTTTTATGAAATCCCACAGTTGCAACAACCTGAAACCAGTTGAACAGATCAGCTAAAGACACGACTTCAGCAAACTGATGCATATTCCACTTCAGAATCTCTCCCAGCCAGCTCCAAAAATCTTTAGAAAATCTATAAGAAATAAATATATGGTCTGTTGTATCAATAGCACTCTGACACAATGAGCATCTAGACACCAAACATAACTTCCTTCTTTGGAGATTCACTATAAAAGGAATTTTGTTTAACATCACAAAAACTGTAGTTACAGACCATCTAGGTCTCGCTTTGCCCCAACAAAACTTATACCAGCTGACTTCCTCTGCCTGAAATCTACAAATTTTCCAAGCTTCCTTATATGAGAACTTACCATTATTCCACAGAAGCTTGTCAGCCGAAGTGTGAATAGGTCGCAACACAAGATATTCCCTCAGCTGCTGTAATTCTTGTCCCTGTAGGAGATTTAAATCCCAGCTACCATTCACCATTAGAATATCTAAATTAGCATTTCTAGGAAGATTTACAGATCTAAAAATCCTATGTCTAAATTTATTTGCCATTGTCAAACCATCACACCAAGGATCTTGAAGAGAAACTGATCTTCCATCCCTTATATGAAAATCAACATGTTGTAACATACTATCCCTTGTCTCCATAACAGATTTCCATATGACAGAGTGAGTTACCTTAGTAATAGCAGTCCAAAAAGTGGAGTGAGGAGTATACTTGTTTTTAAACCATGAAACCTAGAGCCTATCCTTACTTGTCAAAAAATCCCAAGCTAGAACAACTTTGGATGCAGATTGGATATCCACCAGCTTCCTCAAACCAAGACCACCTTCAGCTTTAGATGTAGTGATCATATCCCAACTCAGGAGATGAATTTTCTTAGAATTATCAGTGCTACCCCACAGGAAATCTCTACACATCTTTTGCAACTGATTAATCACATAAATAGGGACATTATAAATGCTACACCAGTATAGAAAAATAGGGATGACAGTGGATCTAATGAGTTCAACTCTACCAGCAACTGATAACAATTTAGTGGTCCAACACATAATTTTACTAGAAACCCTATCAATCAATCCCTGGCAATTTGCTTTCTTCAAACCATAAGGACATAAAGGAAGCCCCAAGTACTTAATTGGAAAATGTTCTTCAGAGCATTTCAGAATTCTTAACATTGATAACTTCCGCCCCACGGCCTTTGAAAAAATGACATTACTCTTATGTTCACTGACTTGTAAACCTATTAAATTCTCGAATTTCTTGAACAAACCTACTAGAACTCTAGCATTTGAAATAGAAGCTTTGCAGGTAATCAAAAAATCATCAGCAAAAAATACATGACTTAACACAGGATGAACCTTAGCTGCAGCATGAGTAACAGAGAGCTCCTTTTTGTGGATAGCAGAATTGATAATGGAGGTAAGGTGTTCTATAATTAAGGTAAAAAGCAGAGGAGACAATGGACAACCTTGTCTAAGACCCCTCCCTAGTTGGAAGAATCCTTGGGGAGAACCATTAATCAGAACAGAATATTTAGTAGATACAAGGATGGAAGAAATCCATTTAATCCACACATTACTAAATCCATAACCTTTGAGGATCCTAAGCAAAAATTCCCAAGAAACAGAATATGCATATGTTAGCATATCTTGTCCTACTTTTGCTTACTTTGATAAAACTTGTACTTATTGTCTAAGTTATGTAATGTGCACTTAAGTACACCTTTTGACACTCTTAGAATATGGTTGTAATGAGGTCAAGGGCCAAAGACACTTATGTGAAATGTATGCTAGCTTTGAACTTCATTGTTACCTATGGAAGATATGTGGATTAATGCATTGAAGGGTTCTATTTTGCATATGACATGCCATGAGGCCATAGGCCATTGCAACACATCTATTTTATAACATTAAATATGCTTGCATGCTCACTTTGGCAAACAACACCATACTTGATGAAACAGAGACTCTAACTAGCATTTTTAGGGAGTTTTACCCTATTCTGTTCCAGGGGCATTTCGGGTATTTCAAAATGCATTTTTTTCATTTTTCCACACGAGTCAAGTAGAAAACTCAATTTTGAGGGGGGTTTCTTCTTTGTTGTTTTTCCATAAAATTCCATCTTGGCCCTCAAAAATCTATTTTTTTCCGAAAAATCGTTGCTGCTAGGTTTTTGTCGACTTTAGTGCAAATGTACTTGGTACTATTCATCGACTTTTTTTTGAAAAGTGTGACGACTGTTCCGAAACTTCCGAGGGTCTTGTGGGTGTATTTTAAGATTGCATTTTCAATTTAGGCAATTTAAAAACCTTCCGAAGCCCCATTTCCTTTCTTTGGGCTGTAGCTTGAAACAAATTTCAACTTCTAGACCTGATTTTCTTGAGGGTATTTTGGGCATTTTACAATACTTTTTTTTGGTTTCTGTTTGGGATTCGGGTAGAAGACTTAAATTTAGGGGGGGGTTTCTTCTTTGAATTTTTCCAAAAAAGTCCGTTTAGATACCCGTTTTTACTCTTAGTTACAGCAGTAGTGGGTTGACGGCACTATAGCTATCACGGCCTTCGTCGGGCCGCCGAGACGTCGATTTTGTTTTTGACCTTTCTCCCTCATCTGGACTCCAAATTAAGTGAATTTTATTTTGAAATTGATTAATTTTTCATTGTCTATCCAACAGTGTGCTCGGTTACACTCGAATATTTCTAGATAATTACCATTTTACCCTTTTAACTTTATCGCTCGTTTTCTTTGTTTTGTCATTTCTCCTTCGTCTGGACTTCGAATCATTCGATTCTTGAGTCCATCTCGATTAGTTTTTTGTTGTCTTCCCGGTGGTGTGCTCGATAGCACTTGAATCCATTTTTTTTTACAAAATGACCACTTTGCCCCTAGGTTCCTTTTTGTCTGTTTTTGAAACGACACTTCCGCATTTGTTTTCCTTTGGGTTCTGTAACCTCATTGAGGGTCACATTGGTGTCTTAGAGATGCATTGTATCTCTAGAGACCATTGTTTCACCTTTCGCTTCCACATTTTGGATCCGTTATCGGGTCATCTTTTGGTCATCACTGACGCACCGGGTTTACAAAACTTGGGCTGTCACAAGAAGCCACAAGTTGATGAGATTGGAAAGAAGAAGAAAACGAAGAATCCTTCTCCAACTACGAAACTTTCTCCAAAGTTTGTAACTTAAACCCCATTTTGGTAATATGTCTATATCTCTCTCCTCGAGTATCAAAACAACTGAATTCTTTTACAAGTGCAAAGGATATTTGAGGAGCTACAATTTTGTAATTCACGAGGATTTCATAAAACAGCTATTTACCTTGTCAAAACTGGGCCGGAAGTCGGTACAAATTTTGGAATCCCTATTCGGCAGATTTTCCATATATGTCTTCTATGTGAAAAGGGAACTTTGGGGACTGATATTCTCTTATTTAAAGGTAGTTCTCTACAACATTGAAGAATCATACAGAGAAGCTTGAGGCTGAGACCAGATGAGAAGTATTTAGAAGAAAGAAAAGATCAATCCATGGCGGCAAAGATGTCTTCCTCAACCATGAAGAATTCCATTCCAGTCATGCTTTGCTAGGGTTGTGATGTAACCCTAGCTTAGCATCACTGGTTTGGTTGTATTTATTTATTGGAGAACAATTATTATTCATGCATGACTATGTAATCTATTGGATTTTTAATTGAATTTTCAATAAAAATCGGTTTTAAAGTTTTAATTCAATTACAAATTTTTTTCTATATTGTCTTAGATATTTGAATCTTGTGATTGAACACAACTCATTCACTTCTTATAGTTGTGAATGAGATGATTACACAATGTTTTTTCTCTGATGTTGTAATGACCCGGTCATTTCCTTCCTTTCCCTTTTCCTCAAAATTTTACGGATGAATTTTTTTCGTTGAAATTTCTTTTCTGAGTTTAGTTTCTCGTTACTTAGTGTCATCTCGAGTGCTCGGAAATGGTTTCTGAGACTCTTTCCTTTGGATTGACAACTTCCTTTGAGGACCGAGTCATTTTTACATTTTTCGTTCTTCGATACTATTCACTTTTTCGTCTTTTTCCCTATTTTGTCTTTTTCCCGTTTGTCACTTTGTTGGCAAAACCTCACTCTTTGTGTTCCGAGTTGGTTTTTGACTTCACATATGTTCATTCTAAGTGGTTTCCATGGAATAAGTATCTTTACTTTTGCAAAAAAGTACTCTGGTTGCTCCCGGTGTCCATAGGGGTATGGATGCACAGTTTTTTAGAACCTTTTTTCTTTTCTTGGTGTGTTTTTCATAAATATCTTTTCAAGAAATTTTATTTCAGGGGTATCTAAGAAAATGTGATACCCCTCGGACCCAAGACACGGGTTGATTAGGCCCAAGCCCAAACCCGAGGTAATATCAAACAATTAATATTTTAAAACGAACACAGATGACAAAAAGATTTTAGAAATAATTAATAAAGCTGAAAGAATTCTAAAATATATAATTTTCAAATAATAATGATTAAAATAATCCAATCCTTCCAAAACTTCCAAGAGTACAACTCGGGAATCCATCTAGTGGACCCCTAAATAAAACCCCAACTGAACTGAATCAACTGAAAGTAAATAAAACTGAAACATCGAGAGAAGTCCTACGTAATCTGATGAATAAGGAACTGTCCTCGAATAACACGATTAAGCTCTAAGGCTGGAACCGTCCTGTACCTGAAAAGAATAAAGGAGTGGGTCAGGCCCACGAACAAGTTTTAATCTAACTGCAATCCATACAGTGACCCGATACGCAGATACACCCTAGATACCTCACAATATCTATTTAGTCCATACATATATATATATATATATATATATATATATATATATCCACACTAAAGGACATTTACTGGACTATAATAGGGGTCTCAACCTGAATATAAGGCAACATGCGAAAATGCACCCAAAGGTGGGCATGAGTACCTAGACCTAATAGGGTACACCTCAACCTACTATAACCAGCTACGCATCCACTGCATATACACACCCTAACCAACGAGCCTGAGACTCAAGCTCATCTCGTGGTACCATAATCATATATCTAAAGTCCGTCCAAATCCAGAGTATGTTATTCCATTATTCATTGAGGTGACATACAAAACATAGTCCAGTTAGACATTCAACTTATTCAGCTGGTATAACTTAACTACAACCAACTAATCCAGGGAGTCACTCAACTTAGTTAGTTGATCTTACTCAAACACAAATAGGATTCAATATTTTACAATCCATTGCATTAATCTGGTAGTTAGGTTAGTGTTTTGAGCTAAACCATCCCTAGTATGCCACAACCCATACCGGTGCATACAATCCTCCATATCCATGTAAATTACAACACATAAATAATAGTTAAGTAATTTACAATCCAAACCATTATTCAAATAATTGTAGAAAGATGATTAATATTCTAGCAATATAAATCCAAACCACAATCCAGCTAATTGCAGAAAAAGATTTAATATTCCAATATTTAAATTCCAAAACCATTATCCAGTTCAAATCTGAAGTCCCAATAATTGCAAAATAGTGTGTGATATTACAGCAATTAAATCCAAAGTATAATCTAGCTTAAAAACCAAGTAAACTATAGAATTATGAACAATAGCTTAGCAACC